ATCTATCTATCTGTCTATCTATCTATCTATCTATCTAATCTACCTACCTATACCTACCCTACTACCTACCTATCTATCTATCTGTCTATCTATCTATCTATATATCTGCCTATCTATCTATCTATCTATCTATCTATCTATCTATGTAAATATAAATATATCTGTCTATCTATCTTTCCTTTTGAGTAAAACTAAGAGATACAGAGAATATCTGAATAAAACTAGGAGATACAGAGAATATCGACTTTACGGGGATACAAAAAGGCTAAATGGATTTATTTTTCAAGGGAAAAGGGGGTCGCCAATAAGACAAAACGTACAGTATGAATTAAAAGGCTACGTTTACAAAACATTCATCTATCATTTCATCCTCAGTCTTTCCTCCTTGCTGCAACTGTTTTTCTCCTCTCTAATTTTAATCTTTCTATCCTCCCTCCCTCCCTACCTACCTACCTACCTACCTCCTTCCCTCTCTGTCTCTCCTTCTCTCTCTCTTCTGCGGCGTGTGGTGTGTGTGTGTAAATATATATATATATATATATATATATATATATATATATATATATTATATATATATATATAGAGAAGAGAAGAGAGAGAGAGAGAGGAGGAGAGAGAGAGAGAGAGAGAGAGAGAGAGAGGAGAGAGAGAAGAGAGAGGAGAGAGAGAGAGAGAAGAGGAGAGAGATAGATGATAGATAGATAGATATAGAGATAGATAGATAGATAGATAGATATATGCATGTATGAGTGTGTGTGAATGTATAAAAATAGACATATGTACAGATATAAAAGAATATAGATAGTACAACAGCCGAACGCAACAGGTCTGGCAAAGACCCCCAAGAACAAGTGAAAAAACACAGGCTTCCCTATGAGCGGCTGTCTCGTGTCCGCTAGATTTTTCGTTTTTTTAAAAAATAGCAGACGTCCACACAAATGAATGTGTGTATCTACACACATATATATATGTGAGTGTATGTGTATGTGTTTATATATATATATATATACTATATATATTATATATATATATATATATATATATATATATATATATATATATATATATGTGTGTGTGTTGTGTGTGTGTGTGTGTGTGTATGTGTGTGTGTGTGTGTGAGTGTATGTGTGTGTTTTTTATATATATATATATATATATATATATATATATACTATATATATATAGTTATAATATTAATATATATATATATAATATATATATATATATATATATATATATATATATATTATATATATATATATATATATATAATATATATAATATAATCTGTGTGGTGTGTGTGTGTGTGTGTGTGTGTGTTGTGTGTGTGTGTGTGTGTGTGTGTGTGTGTGTGTGTGTGTGTGTGTGTGTGTGTGTGTGTGTGTGTGTGTGTGTGTGGGTGGGTGGGTGGGTGTGGGTGTGCGTGTGTTTATGTGTGTGTCTGGATGGGTGGATATTCGCACGTAGTTTCCGTCACACAAACATCAGGATAACAAAAGCAAAAGCAAACTCTTTCTAAAGACGAACTCCCTGCAACAAAATTCTGAGCAGATCCGCTTACAGGTCTGTACAAGCTGCCCCCCCACCCCCTCCCTCCTCCCCCTCACCCTCCCTCCCTCACCCGTTCTCCCTCTCTCTCCTCACTCTTTCCCTTCTCTTCCCCTCACCCCATCCCTCCCTTAACTTTTATCCTTTCCCCCTTCTCTCTCTCTCTCTACCCCTTGTTATGCATGCGCTCCCTCTTCACTTCTAAACCTTCCCTTCGCCTCCGATTTCTTCCCCATCCCTGACCCCTCCCCCTCACCCCTTCACCCCTCACCCCTCCCCTGACTCCTCACCCCATCCCCCCTCCCCCGACTCCTTAACCCTAACCCTTCATCCCTCACCCCTTCCCCCCCTCCCCGACTCCTAACCCTAACCCCTCACCCCTCACCCCTTCACCCTTTCCCCCCTCCCCGGACTCCTAACCCCCCCCTCCCTTCACCCCTTCCCCCCTCCCCGACTCCTAACCCCTAACCCCTCACCCTTCCCCCTCCCCCGACTCCTAACCCCACCCTCACCCCTACCCCTTCCCCCCTCCCCCGACAACCCTCACCCTCACCCCTTTCCCCCCCCGACACCTAACCCCTCATCCCTTTCACCCCCACCCCTCACCCCTTCCCCCACACCTTCCCCCCCTTCCCCCCTTCCCTCCCCATCTGAGCAGAGGGCGTGGATCTCCTGCCGTTACTCTCGCAGCTTGTCCTCCCCGCTACGAGGATTTATATTTTCTTTTGGAATAGAGGATTTATGACCCTGTGGCTTCTTCTGATATGCGGCAGAACTGTTTAATTCTAGGGCTTTACATACATACATACGAACCAGCATATACAGTACTTGCATACATACATATTACATACATACATATACATATATACATGCAACTATGCATACATATATCTGTGCATATACAGTCCTTGCATATTACATATACAGTATATATGCATATACATATATATAT